TTATTATTAAGAAAAATAAAAAAGAGTGTTATAAATAAGATATTATAACAGATGTTACAAATATATTTTTTCTAATTTAATAATTTAAAATTTTCAATTTAATTTGATTTAATTTGATTTTTATTAAATTTATAATTTAAAAAAATTTTTATAATTTAAATTAAATTAAGTAAAAAATTTTAAATTAATTTAAATTTAAAATTTATAGTACTAATAAATAAAATTGAAAATTTATTTATTTTAAAATCATTTAAAAATTTAAATATAAGTAATTTAATATTAAATAATTCTTTAATTTATTTATTTTTATATACTATTTATTAAGATTAATTAGAAGTAAAGTTCTAAATAAGTCAAGTAGAATTGAGTAATTGATTTAACTTAATCTAAAGTATTAAGCTAGGTTAGGTTATAGATTATATTGAAAAAAAAATTGAAAAAAAGTTTTTTAAGATATCTTATATCTAGTAGTTGATAAATGATATATTATAACTTATTGGATTTGTCTTAATATGATAAATTAAATAGTAGCTATTTTATTTTAAACAGATTAATTTAATAAAATTAAGTATATTTTGTATATATATTAATTTACAAAAATGCATTCTAAAATTTTTAATAATAAAATAAAATAAAAATTATCTTACCAACTAGTAATTACAAAATTTTTAAATAAATTTATTAGATTAATAAATTAAATTGTAGTAGATTCATTACAAATAGATTGATATTAATAAAAATATTAAATTTTGAAAATTTTAACTAAAAATTCAAATCAGATCAGATTCAGAATTCTAATTAAAAGATTTAATCTATATTATTATATGCTTTTAATAATTATTATAAAAATTTTTAAATAACTAATTTTTTATTATTTTTTAATTTCTTTTCTAACCTTTTTTTTTAAGTTATTTATAATTTTTTATATGATTCTAATATAAAAAATATGATAATTAATAAAAATTTTAAAAATTTAATTTTTAAAAAAAGATATTATATATATTAAATCAATATTTTATATAATTTTTAAATTTCATTTAATTGACTTTAATTAAAATTTATAACTTAATTTACTATTCATTTTTTTTATAAATATATAAAATCTATATAATTCTTTATTAAAAAATAAATTCTGAATAATTTTATAAGTTAGTATTCTTTTTTTTTTTTATAATAAATCAAAATAGTATTATAGAATATTTAAATATTTATTTTATTAGAAAAACTTTTATTATTCTAAGTTTTATAAGCTTTTATCTAAAAAATTAGCAATAGAAGTAAAAAATACAATTTTTTTTAGAAATATAACTTAATATTAAACTTTTAAAATTTTTATAAATTATGTATAAGATCTAAATAAGTTTTATTAAAAATATCTATTGTTTAAAACTTATTGTATTAGCATATAAATAATAATAATAATATTTTTTAAACTTAAAAATTTTTAGATGATAATATTACATAAATATTTATTAAACCTGTTTAAAATAGTTTTATTGTATACTTTATTATATTATATTATGTTAGAAGAGTTTTGACATATTTCTTATTATAATTTTATCCGAGTTTAAACTATTATTAAAAGGTTTATTCTTTAGAATGTTGCTTTAAATATATTAGTTTTTTGAGTTATAAATTAGTAATTATAGTTATATTAAATTTTGTTATTATTCTATTACATTAGTTATTTAATTAAAAGAAATTATAATAAAACCTAGTTAAAAAAATAATCATTTGACTAAAGAATATATTTTAGAAAAATTATAGTATAGAGAAGATCAAATAATAGAAAAGCTGATAATAGAGGAATCTCGAGAGATTATTTGATAGAAACGGCCGTGAATCGCTAAATAAAACTCTGACGATTTCAAAACAATGTGTGTCCTAGGCGGCAGAGGGGAGAGAGAACTTCATTTACTACGAAGGTGCATTTTTCTGGTTTGATCTCCAGGACTGCTTTCGTTTTGTAAAGAGAGATGTGTGAATAAGATTCTTTATCATAGGAAGGTGATTTCTCCTTAGACCTTAATCAGGCGGTCTTAGGGGTAAAACCAGATCGTATATCGAGCTCAATAACCTGTTTGTAAAAAAAATTTAGAATTGAAATTTAGACCAGAATTATATATTCAAAACTGAAAAATAACCATCATTATTAATATGAAAAAACCAATTACCGTTATTATTAACGAAAGCCTCGGAGTGAATCTAACAATTCATCTATTCGTGGTAGCGGATAATTATCTTTTTTCGTTATGGTGTTAAGTTCCTTGTAATTGACACACATTCACATTTTTCTTTTTAACTAGAACTATTGGTGGAACTATGCCAAAGAATGTCTTCTTTCGGCAAATTTTAAATATAATTGGAACGCTTTATTTATATTTGCCTTTGTTCCTTTACCATAATAACAGTAATTAGCTAAATTGTATTGAGCAAAAGGATAGACAAAACCTATTGCTAACTCATTATCTCGATGTCCTGCAGCTTCATAATTTTCGGCGCAAAATACTGGCACCTATCATCTGATCATCATCTTATTTTACTTTTGTTTATTCATAAAATAGTCTAACCATTATTACTTTATGATATCCAATTTTTCGTAATCTATTTCTAGTTCTTGAAATAGTTATATCTGAATTGAAAAGACTAGTTCCAATGTTGCATGGATTGTTAAATAATCCTTAGTGAATTTTGTCTCTGAATTTATGCCCCAAAAATGTTTTCTTTCGCTAAATTGTATAGTGCAGATGGATCACTATCTTCTGCCTTTATAAAATAACCTAATCATTATTATTTTCTCTTCTTTTTTACGCTATCCAATTTTTAATACGAAAATAACTTTTGTCACAACCTGGTTTCTGGTTCTCGAAATAGTTAAACCTGAATTGATAAGGCTAGTCTGATGTTGCTTGGACTGTAAAATAATCCTTTGGCGATTTTTGTCCATGAATTTTCCACATTGCTTGATGAGAAGTGGTCTTAAAATCGGCCTTTAAGATCGAAGTCTGTCGATTCCAGTCTACCTTCAAACTAGACCCGAGACCAGTCTTATGATCAGATCCAGTACGAACCGTCCAACGATAGCCCGTTAACATCTCTACTGCCCACGGCAATAATGTGATTGGACGCCTTTTCCCACGCACGAGGATACGGGACGTAGCATACTCTCTATGCTCGTTAATATTTTTCACATTCCTGAGAGCTATAACTGACGCCTTAACTTCCATCTTCCTTTGATTTCGGTTTTTGGTTGTTTGACAAACCTCCAGTTAACCGCTCAAGTCTTTGTGATATTTTTACGTTCGGATTTTTTTTTTTTTTTTAATAAATGACAATTATACGAACTACTTTCAAAGACAAAAAAATAAAAAAGAATAGATATAGGAAAAAGGAAACGTTTAACTTTACAAAAGCGTTAGAACAGAACAGGTCTGGTATATATTTTTGGTTACACAATCAGATAATCACAGCCAACTTTAGATTATTCAAACATTACTTCATTCCGATTCTTATTCGGAAAAACGATTACTAAGCCGTTAAAAAATCGGAATTATTTTTTTAAGCTAGATTATTTTTGAACAATTTCTTCGGAGACTTTCTCAGAATTAATGTACACGTCACGTGCTCAAATACATTTTATTTCGACATTTCGTCATGATAATTCTACTTCCCAAAACATCTATGAAGCTCGGAGGAAAATTTTTTACCGTTTGACAAACATAATTCCAACTTTTAACAAATAATCAATGTTCGTCTCGACAGTATCTAGGATTGAATACCAAACAATATCCATGTGGTTGATTTTCCAATTAAAATAGATCGACGAAAAAGAGATCAATGACTCATAATAGATCTTTTTTTTTTCGTTTCACGTTTAAATTAAAGGATGTAAACATAGATTAATTTAGAAGGTACCGAGAAAAAATAATAATTATTGAAGTTTTTTAATGTTCAATCCTTATTTAGTTAACTTGATATGGGTACAACATGCGTTATGACAAACGTTTCAGTTTACGCAGTGCGTCACTTACATATTGATCACACCCCCTAGTGAACCGAATCTTTAGTTTTTAAATTTAAAATTTATTGATTATTAGAATAGAGTGAATTGGTTCATTGCTTTTAAAGTTGGGTTTCCCGTATCACGTCCAAAACACAGAACTCAAGAATGAATAGATCCACCAGACGAGATTCCGAAATGAGTTGTTTAAACAGGATGATTGGCCTGTTCAAACTCGAGACTTTGATCGTCTAGAATATTCATCGATTTCTTTACCACATTTATCGATTTTATGGAAAATTTAATTAATTGAAACATGTTTGGTTTTCTTTAAAATTTCTATATTGAACGACAATATACTTATGATGCACTTAATAAAAAATTTGGTAAAAAAAGACCAACCTTATTTTCCAAAATTATTAATAGGATTATTCTTCGGGTTTACTTGATATTAAAATATGGAAACTAAGATAACATGGTTCAAGTTTTAAAACGTTGTATTTTATTAAATTGAAATTCAACGCCTACTTACTTCCAAGTAAATAAAAAAAAAAAAAAGGCGTTGAAATTAATATACATTGCATTCCTATATGAGAAATTGCTAATTAACTTAAAAGATTAACAAAAAAAAAAAAATGATCCCCGAATCCCCGATTAAATCCGCTTCATGTATTTAATATATTAAAAAGTAATGCATGTTTATCAAATTTGGTAACAAAAGTGAATTAAAAGGTTACACATATAACCATCATATATTATTATTTTTATTTAAAAGGTTTCGAAAATTTTGTCGAGGAAAATTCCAACACTCGAAATCAAATATTTTCTCCAACCTTTTTTTCATCTTTGAGAGACGAAAATCCAATTACACTCTTTTTCGTTTTAAATCGCCATACTTTTTTTACCACCAACCAACCCTTATTAAATCCCCCTCCTTGAGCTACCTGTTACACCTTATTTTACAATAAAATCTCCTACACAAAAAAATTAAAATTACAAAATGGTAGCGATCAAATTTCTTTGTACTTTACTCATTATCGCAACTGCGACACTGGTCACCGTAGTCGATGCCTTTAATCCCCAGCTTATGCTTAAACTTGTTAACAATGAACGTAAAAAGGCGGGAGTTCCTGAACTCACTTTAGACAGGTAAATCTCGAGATTTTACGTGTTATTATCAATTAAAGAAAACTTATTAACGATCCAATTGTTTATTTATTTTTATAGTAAATTGTCGAAAGCTGCTCAAAAGCAAACTGATTTCATGGTTAGTACCGACAACCTTACTCATGATAACCCTGCCGGCTCGTTAGGGAAACGTGTTCAAGATGCAGGGTACAGTTTTGGTAGTGTTGGTGAAAATATCGCCAAAGGATTTGGTACAAATGAGGAAGCGGGCGTCATGCAAATGTAAGGATTTTATTGATTTTATTATGAAGATTTTATGATTCATTTTAAAATTCGAATTCTAATCGAATTAATTTTCTCATTTTATTAAAAAAGTTGGATGAAATCTAGTGGGCATCGGGCAAATATTCTTAATAAAGCATTTACCAATTTAGGAGTTGGATTTGGTGGGGGAAAATATTGGACACAAGTTTTTGGTCGACCATCACGTGCTACTAGGAAATCCAAAAGAAATGTGACCAAACCGGCACGATTAATTGAAAACTGAATTCGAAATTGATTTTTTGATTTAGATATATTTCAAAAATAGATATATTTTTTTTATTAATAAAAAAAAAAATTGTTAATGCTAATCAATATTAAATAAAATCCAAAATTTTTTGATATTTAAATCATTTAATACAAGGTGCCTAAACGCATATAACGTGGTTTAATGATAGAAATCTAATAACGTCCATGTGACAAATTGGGCGGTAAATCTAAAAAAAGTTGCATAAATAAATAAATAAATAGGGCGGTGCAAAAAATTGTTGCATGTGAAGATTTGATGTCTGCGGTGCTGCGTATTAAAACTGCGGTCATAATATATATTTATAATATTCATTTATCATAATATTGTTTCCCTTGTGGGATAGGATTAATTGAGTGTACCACTTAAATATCCTTATTGTAAAATGGTCATACTTCGGAATCCTGTTTAGCTGATTCAAGCTTTAACAAGCCTATTGAAGATTGTCTTTTGCGCCACTGCTGTAAAAAATCTTTCCTCCGAGAATTCAATTTCTTTTGAAACCCACCTATTATTTGATCATATAATGTAACACATCCCTTTTCTTTTTTCTTTTTGACAGAACTTTCTATCATCACACAAAACAGTGATTCTTGGGTTACCTGATTGATAACAGCACCGCCTTGTGTTATTTAACAATTTCTTCTGCACGTCTAAACAGAATTGTGATCCCATAACAAAAAGGGTAATCGCCGAACTACGACCATCATTTCATTTATGTCATTTCATTGGCTAATTATCCTCATAAATTGCTGACGATTCGACCGAAATCCCCCCAAAAACCATTCTGAAACTGACCAAAAAAAAAAAAAGAAAATTTGAAAAGTAAGAAAAACAAAAAAACTATTATGGTGTACTAAATCAAAGCGAGGAAGCTTTGAGG